TTGACTTGGTTATTTGTTTTTTGGGTGTTGAGTTTGAGAAGTTCTTTATAGATCTTGGATACCAGCCCTTTATCTGTAGTGTCATTTGCAAATATATTCTCCCATTCTGTGGGTTGCCTCTTTGTTTTGTTGACTGTTTCCTTTGCTTTACAGAAGCTTTTTATCTTGATGAAGTCCCAAAAGTTGATTTTTGCTTTTGTTTCACTAGCCTTTGGAGATATATCTTGAAAGAAGTTGCTGTGGGCAATGTCAAAGAGGTTACTGCCTATGTTCTCCTCTAGGACTTTGATGGATTCCTGTCTCATATTGAGGTCTTTCATTCATTTTGAGTTTATCTTTGTGTATGGTGTTAGAGAATGGTCACGTTTCATTCTTCTGTATATAGCTGTCCAATTTTCTCAGCACCATTAATTGAAGAGACTGTCTTTTTTCCATTGCATGTTTTTTCCTGCTTTGTCAAAGATTATTTGACCATAGAGTTGAGGGTCCAGATATGGACCTCTCTATTCTGTTCCATTGGTCTATATGTCTGTATTTGTGCCTGTACCATGCTGTCTTGGTGATCACAGCTTTGTAATATAGCTTGAAATCGGGCAACGGGATGCCCCCAGCTTTGTTTTTCGTTTTCAACATTTCCTTGGCGATTCGGGCTCTTTTCTGATTCCATACAAGTTTTAGGATTGTTTGTTCCAGCACTTTGAAAAGTGTTTGGAATTTTGATGGGGATGGCATTGAAGGTATAGATTGCTCTGGGTAGCATACACATTTTAACAAAGTTTATTTTTGGGCGCCTGGGTGGCTCAGTTGGTTAAGTGACTGCCTTCGACTCAGGTCATGATCCTGGAGTCCCGGGATCAAGTCCCGCATCGGGCTCCCTGCCCAGCAGGGAGCCTGCTTCTCCCTCTGACCCTACCCCCTCTCGTGCTCTCTCTCTCTCTCAAACAAATAAAATTAAAAAATTATTAAAAAATAACGTTTATTCTTCCAATCCATGAGCATGGAATGCTTTTATGTGTTAGACAAAATGGATATTCATACATAAAATAATAAAACTAGAACTTTATCTTACACCACTCACAGAAGATAATATGAAATGGTTTAGAAACTTAAATGTAGCCCAGAAACTGTATAAATCCTGCAAGAAAACAGCAAAATAGCTCCTTGACATGGGTCTTGACAATTACTTTTTGGCTATGACAGCTAAGGTAGAAGCAAAATATGGAAAAATAAGCAAGTGGAATTATGGAATTACATCAAACTAAAACGCTTTTGCACAGCAAAAGAAACTGTCACTGAGATGAAAACACAAACTACAGAATAGGAAAAATACTTGCAAACCATTTATCTGACAAGGGTTAATTTACAACATATATAAAGAGCTCATATAACTCAATAAAAAAATACCCAAATAATCCACTTAAAAATGGACAAAAGATCTGAGTAGA